ATAACAAATATTAATATAAAAATGTTTTTTGATATTTAGTTCATCTATGGCAGTTGGGATACACTTTTATAAAACAAAAAAATCTGATGGCATTGAAAACTGTGATGAAACAGTAGAATTTACTAAAATAATAAACAATTCGTGTGATGCTCTCGGCAGAAAATTTCTTATGGAATGAATAAAACCAAATAGCCAAGATCTAGAGGTTATTTGGGTTCATTGCATTTTGTGTTGCATGTCGCTTTTGTGAAACGAATATCAGGAAAGTACAAATATCCTGTTTGCATATGCTAACAGACACTATTAAAAACTACTTATCCTAAATAGAATATCATTATATTGTTAAATTAATCAAGACTATCTTCACACCAATAAACTATATCATTTTAAGTGACTTAATACCTTGTGCATATTAAAAATAACGGACGTACAACGTAAGAAAGAAAGACCACTTAGTTTTGATATTATTTTGTTTTTTTACCATAAAAGCATTTAACAATTGTTGATAAAGTACATATTATAAAATATAAAAGATAATACAATATAAATGTCATAAAAATTGTTTTCATAAAAAGTAATGGTGTAAACCATTTACCAATCTTATATAGTGCTTTGCTATAAAACATGTGTTTAACACTTTACTCAATTTTTCACATGCAGGTAAGTCTCAAAATATTTATAGTAATGTAATTTTCTCTTATGAAACATAAAATAGATTTAGGTACCATTTATTAAATTTATTTTATTTTTAAGGTATTGAATAATGCATTAAATTGGTTAAACAATTGGGAAGATAACTTGAATACAAAATTAACCACAGAAGATGAATTTCTTACTAGACAAACAGCCGAAGGATTAAGAATGATCATTACGTCAACCATAGACTTGACTAATTATTTACTTGATCAGTGCGGGTTTGTGTATGTTTTAACAGCCAAAACGAATCAAGATTGTCTTGAGGTAGATATATCATAATTATTTATATCAAAATAAAGTTAAACTAATTAAATTTTATATAAAACTGCACTTTTCTTTATGTTAAGAGATTTTTCGGGATAGTAAGACAAGTAAATGGGTCAAATAATCATCCATCATCAACAACATTTTTACAATTACATAGAATGCTCTCTGTATATTCTATAGTCAAACCTCCTAAATCAGGAAATTATTCTATTCTTGAAGGTAACAATACCTACATAGTAATTATTAATTGTATTCTTTAAAACAGCAATATCATTCCCATTTTATTTAGAAAATATACCAATTATAACTATAGCCGATTTAAAAGAAATAGTAAATGAACAAAATTCAAAATTAGAGAGAACAGAAAAAATGAAAAGACTACAAACAAAATTTGACAATATAGTAAAAGAAGGTCAATGGGAATTTGACGACTTTTTTCAAGATCACAATTATTGTAACATATCAGAATCCACAGAGTTTAAATGTGTAATATATTTTTTGACAGGGTAATTATTTTAAATATATTCCTTAATTTTCAAACAATTGCATGACTTAAAATTACATTTTTAACAGGTATAATAGCTAAGAGAACAAAAAAAAAATACTAAACGTGGAGACTGCTTAAATTATTTAATTACACAAGTTGGAGAGGCATCACACCCAGCAGCAGAATTAGTAAATTAAAAAACTAGAGGATACTTGACTCACCCAAATCATAACCTTTAAATTTGTATAAACATTTTTGAGTTAAGCTTTGAAAAACATGCTGATTAGTTGAATGTATTTGATGGATTAAATACAAATTTCAAATTAATGTGGGGCTGTAATAAACATAAAGGTGAAATCATGACCAATATATATGTAATGTATATAACAATGCGTATGAGACAATATTTATATGCAAAATACCAAGAAAAAAAAATTGGCTAAATTGGTACCAACACAGTAAAAGAATTCATATTTAAATAGTGTGTGTATATAATAATTATGTATAAATAATGTATAAATTGTAAGTACCTAATTAAAAATGATCCTTATCATGGTTTTGAATTTTTATTATTTCATACTGACTAAAATGAATCCAGGAAGTAGTTAATATCCATTATAGATGATTTTTGGACTAATATTTAAAAATGAAGACGCTTCAATTAAAAACGATTAATATAGTTGGTAGTAAATATGTTTAACAAATATTGTTAATTACTTATTTGATTAGTAATACATTTTGAAGGTATAATAATTTTACATAATAGATAATTATCTATAGTATTTGATAATATTAAGAATAAAAGAGACATAGACCTATAAAGATATGGACTGCGCCTCCCACACACCCCGCCTATATTGCCGCGTTATGAACAACGTTAGAAAGAGATAGATAGAGTTGTTAGGTTGTTCATGGAATAAAAATTGAAAAGAAATGTTATATTTTACTATTAGTTTTAAAGACTTATGTAATTTTTAATTTTCTAGTATAATTGAAAGTGGGACGGTGCCGGAAAATAAAACCGAAAAACATGAAGAAGTGAGCCATTCAACACACCGACATATAGTTGTTCAACAGTCAAAAATGAACCTACAACAAGATTAGTAGAAAATACTTACAAGTAATAGAATATATCAAAAAAAGTTTTTTAAATTGGTTATTTTAAATTTGATATTTATAGTGATGTCGTGTATTATCTCAAACACATTGGTATTGACTATATTAGCTAGTGCAGTATATTATTTATAATCAATGGTATAGCTTTTACAACGATTCGTTTTAGTTGGTTTCTGAAGTCATTATTGCTTATTTTACTGTGGACTGATTAAATTACATAGCAAATGTAATGATCTGTAATCGTATCAGATTTGTACTTAGGTGGGTCGGGTGTTTCTTATTTTATTACGGTAAATAAAATGTCTACATTTAATTTCAGGAGCGTTTTTTAATTATTTTCTTTTTTAAACATTTCCTAAAAACAATTGTTATTAATTAATACAAAAAAACATATTTTATACATCATTCAAAGAACAATAATATATACCCAGAAGTATGTATAAACTCCGTACATTATACACTTAAAACATTGCTTTGTTATGTTTTTAAATATTGTTTTGAAGTTTTAAATTTTTGCATAACGTTAAAGACTAGTTATAACCAAAAAGCTTATGTAAATAAAAAATAATAATACACAATTTAATTAAAATGTATTAAAAAAAAAAAACAGTTGAAACAATAAATAGAAATAAATAAATTATAACTTTTTTTATTTTTCATCCGTATTTATATCAAGTATTTTTTTAAGTCTAATTGTATTTAAATTTTATAATCAGATTTTGCATGGAAATAAACTGTGTTGTTTAACAATTCAAAAAAAATATTTTTTTTCATTAATTCCATAGTAGGTACTTTAAAAAAATATTGATATTAGTTATTAATTATTATAGTATTTAATAACTTAAATACACTGTTTCATTTGTATTTATTAATTTATTAACTTTAGTACAACAATTCATAATAATATTCTGTTCACTTACATTCGATATTATTACTGAACAAATATCAATTAAGTTATGCTCAGACTCACTATTTACAATATTATTTTCACAATATTCAATACCTTATGTTGATTAGCTCTGCGTCCAATTTTAAAAAATAGGCCTAAATGATTAGGTCTTCCAGATTTGTTATAATTTTTTCCATGTGCAGGGCAGCTTCTTGGTCCACGTTTATACCCACACTTCTTACAACTATAGGTACTTATCAGTTTCTAGCACCAACGGTCTCTCCACTTGTGATATGTTTGACTACTTCCTCCAATTACACGCGAGATATTATATATAGGTTATGAATCCAGACCAGCCACTCATAATAATATTAAATATATAATAATAGATGATAATACAATCATACAACAAATAGATACATTTAATTCAGTATTATCGTCGATTTCAAAGTCCACCGATAATTACCGATGTTTGTTGTTATTTTGGTTCTGGAACAAATATATACATAATTAAACAGTAGTCAAAGACATTATACTTTAATGTACATAATAATATATAGATATTGTACAGTGTGTTTAAAGTGCAAAGATAACATGGAATCTTCATGTTAGATTTACATCTTTTGACTATAATATATTGTCTTAATCGATTTTGAAGCTACAATACTTGGAGTGGGTTCGTTGGAAATATTATGTCAATAAAACTTTGAAACAGTACATGACGTGAAAAATATTTGATTTGTTATTATTGTTTTATTTTGTAACTAAACGATTTACTAACTTAAAAACCAGAACTTTTATATTTAAATGAACTTTCAAGTAGTGACGTCAAAAATATTTTCCTCTTACACCGTTTTGGAGTCGCCATAAATTAAATAAATACCTCCCCAAATATGTTTCTTTCGTTTGCTATTTTATTACTAAATTAATGTGTCGTTCATTGTAACAGTGAATTATTTCCTTGTAATTGGATTTTGAAATAACTAGCTGTTTGCAAATTAATCAGTAGGAAAACAAATACAAGTATTCATTCAGTGTTTTCTATTTTTTTTTTTTGTATTTATTGTAGTTTTCTTCTTTTTTTTTTTAACAAAATATATGACAACTAAAGGCGTGACTCCGTTAAGCAAAACTATGTATGTTTTAAAAATTTGGAATTACACCACTTTTACAATATATTAACACCCCTTGTTTTGCACAGCCTGACTTGTCCTTCGGACGATAGAACAGCACATATTACTGTACACGGTGATCTCAGTTCTTACCTGACCGACTTTAAGCGAAATAACAATTTCCACCACTTTGAGAACCTAACATTTTTTTCTAATTTCTATTGCGCGTTAAAAAATACTACAATATTCTTGAACAACAGCAACATTAAAAACATTAATCTTATATGTACATATTATATTATTTTACCCACGCGATACTCAATTATTTGCGCTGTAAGCAAACAGAACACAGTGTGAAACCTTGTTACTGTTATTATACAATAAACGGCGGTTTTAATCGTTGACGAGACGTTGCAATATTATTGTTTTTAATGTCTGCACACGGTCAATAGTGTTATCAGATAATTGTACTCCCTACACCATCAGTAATATCCAAGTGTCCAACCACCGTGGTAGTGCGAGTGCGAGGCAAGTTCGGATTGTGCATTGTTCATACATCTTTACAAATTTGCTATTCCGGTAAGTCGCATTGTTTTAATCAAATTTCTACCCTCTAATAGCAATCGAGGATTTTATAAGAAAAAGTCTAAGAACGGGGATTTTTTTGTACATAATATACAGTATATAGTATATAGTATAGGGTGGTGCAAAAAAAGATTGAGTATTTTGTTTTTAAAATCACAATTTTAGGATATAATCCAAAATTGTATTCAATTTGTAGTATATGATAAATTAAATCTGTTTTGCATATTTATCACTCTACTGCAACATTGAAATAGCAAAATACTAAAAAGAAAATTGTAATATTGAACATATTTAGTTACCATATTTTAATAACATTCGTATTAATTAGTTTTTTTTAAAAAAACTATTTTTTCTACAATTTCTATGATTTTCAACCACTCGAAGTAAGTGTTTTTTTTTTTTTTGTTCTTCGTTGTTGAAACTAGTCATGAGTGCAATATTGAGCTTGTATCTTCTGCTGTAGAATTATAAAAAAAAAAAAACTGTGTGTGTCATGTGATTGACGTTAAACTTAGATCTTAATATGTTATATATTGACACATCTTTTTAATAATTCGATTAATGAAATTATTGTTTTTAAGTATTGAATAATATCGAAGGAAGTGAAAATGAAAGTAAAACAAATATTTAGATTTTTGTCGATAAAATAATTATTTTATTTCTGTATTAGTAACAGATGGCTCATAAGGAATTTAACTAAAAAAATTGGCCTATTTAACCTAAAATATTATGTCATGGACGTTTTAGACAGTTTGTTTCCAAATTCATGCAATACTTACTTAGTAACTTTTAAATGCGCTACATTATTGTCATCAACGAATTCAAAGTGTAGCAACACAACTGTTATGACTAGTGCCTTTAGCTAAATATATTGTAATTGTCCATATTTTATTCTACAAATCGTATTGCTTTAAAAGCTGTAACTTATATTGTTTTATTTAACCCCTACGCTTTAGACCAAAAAGCGAGATACAATTTGGACTACTCAAAATGGTCCGATTTTAATTCTATAAAGATACATAAGTTCTTTGCAACTTAACTAGGGTATGTAGGAAACAGATTTTTGATCTTTTGCTTTTCTTATGTAAAAACAATTGGGTTTTAATATGGAAAAAATTGCAAATCTGATTTATTTAATTACACGAAATTGAAGTTTTTAAATGAAAATTTGCTTCCTACATAACATAGTAAAGTAACCAAAGAACTCGAATCTTTTTACAGAATAATAGAAATTGTACCATTCTATGTAGTCGGAATTTTGTCTAAAATAAACAAAAAAGGCTTTTTCCAATAGAAAAAGTGATTTATATTTAAAATAATACTTTGAAGATTTAAAAATTAATAATATAATAATAATAATAATAATAAACTACTATTATTATTATTTCTCTTTTATTCTTCATTTTTAATTATATTCAAATTTTTTATTATTTTCTCTCACATACGCCTATACAATTGATGGTGTATTTTAAAAACTTCTATTGTACATGGAATTCTTAAAAACAACATATATAGATTTTATTCAACCTTTTAAAATATTACTTTTAAATATAACGTAATAACAGAGACTTTGTGACCAAAAATTATTGATCATTATTTACATTATTATTATTATTAATAAAATAATAATAAATTGATATATTTTTTCAATAATAAGAAGGATCATACTGATCGTGTGATATCATTACATACGAAAACAAAACCCCTGTTTTTGGTAAAAAAACGAATCGTTAAAATATTTTATAACGTTTTAGACCAAAATCAATATTTTTCAACTGGAAATGTTTTGAATTGAAATTTTTTACACTTCATTTTTGCAAGTACTATCGATAAACTATGAAAAACTAAAAGAATATCACCTATCTTCTAAAAAGAATAGGAACTTTTATTATTTTTCTGTTGATCAAGGAAAGTATCAAGTCTCAAGGTCTGGACATTTGACTGAAGGTAAATCTGGCGTGGAGCTACATCCAAGGTTGGGCAAAATACAGTGTTTTGTCGACTAAATAACAAATACACAAGATACGTGTACCTTGAAAATCAAAATACAATTATCTTAAGTTAAAAAAACAAAATACCAATTTAAAATACAAAATCCGTATTACGAGTAATATTTTTTTTGTGTCTTTATCCACTGTAACTTTTTTAATACTGGGCCAATTCCTTCAAGTAACAACGCTATAAAACACAAATTATATATAGTTGGTAATTGGAGGGGAGGGGAGGGTTGGTAAAAGTTCTCTTTAAAGTGATTCTAGTAAGTTTTTAGCACAAGTTTTATGTCTTTATTTATTTTTTTTTTTTTAATTAGTATCAAAGCGATTATTTGAAAATTATTTTATCCGAGCAAGTCAGTACAGTGGCGTAGAGGCAAAATGGGATCAAAGAATTAACACATTTTTAAGACAAAATCACTTTCAAATAAACGCATCGATGTGAATCAGTAGTTGGTATTTTCAAACCACCGCAGTAAGAAGTTACCAAATAGGTGTCCAATATCTGCAGATTATAATCAAAGCGTTTCTTGTATGTGGATTTATTACTAACTCTCAATTACAGGTCTAGTAGAATTGAATATTTCTAAACTGGTTCTACATAATTTAGCATCTATCTATTCCCCTGGAAGGCGTGGAAACTTTTTCTTTATTTCGATTTTTAGGAGGTGAAGTTTTAGGGTATTTAGGGACAAAGCCAACTAGGAGTAAATTACATATCATGTTTTATAATTTGTATTTTAGAACGACTGAATTTGCTTTTGTTATATATTATGTTGTTTAATTAAAAAATATTTGTATGGACTCTCTTCAGGGTGATCCTGGTAACCTTTCAATATTCAAGTACAAGTTTTGTCTTTTTTTTTTTTAATTAGCATTTAAGCGTTTTTTTGACAGCGATTTTCTCCGAGTACGTTGAAGGGTCCATAGACCATTTTCTGTATTGCTATAAATTTGTACTTGTACATACATATATTTATTTGTACTAATTTCAAATAAACCCAGAACCGAAATAATAAAAAAAAAGTTCATTATGATTAAATAAAAGTGCCTTGATATTGTAATACGAACAATTGTTTTTTTTTTATGATTATAATATAATATGTTATAGGTCAATTAGCATTAACGCGAGACAGCGTAGTAGTAGTTTTCGGTAGCACTTTGCCCAATTTCCAAAACGATTCCGCCAACCCGATCGAATGTGGTATTATATGATTTTCAATTTTAACGACAAACATTTCGCCTACTCTAAGAAAGTCATCAACGGTAGGCTTTGATAGTACGTTCTCGCCAATTATCTGACGCTGTCTCCTGCCAAGAGCTTCGACTCCCTCCAACCCGCTTGTGACCTGTCGGAAAAGGTGCTCTGGTAAAGAGTGTTGACCTGTCGGAATTGTCGGAATTTGCTCGAAGTAAACCCTTATTTGACGGGCGTACATAAAAAGTAACCACGGATTGTTTGCCAAATAGTTTTTTGGCTTCCGCAACGAATCGAGCATCGTGGACGCTTCTTTATCGAACAAAAAATCCTCAATTGTATCAGGCCTGAGAACGCCTTTGATGTCGTAGAAAACCGGTACCATATCGATTGGCCGTCGTCATTGTAACCGGTAGCCAATTGATTTTTCGAGCTTTGTTGTATTCTATCCAAATCATTCTCCACTTCTTCCTTGTCATTGGAAGTCCGCACACCGGTTATGAGAAAAACCATTGCATACCATAATTTCAACACTGTCATTTTGTCACCTCTTACATTTTTTGCTTAATCTGCGAAATATTATAATACTTTTGTATTATAGCGAGGCGCTTTAAAAACGTAAAACAAATGTGTCTTCCACGTGTATACGATTTATGATAATACAACAGAAAAACGTACCTTAATTTTCAGTAAGAAAATATAGTCATATTTTCTGTAAGAACTAACGATAATTTTAGTCTACACGACGATTACATACGGCGAAATACATTTGACCTGTCACTCACGTTAGCATAGACTTTGATTAATAGTAGAAAAATAAGGGTAGAAATCAAAAGTAGAACCAACCCGTTAAAAATAGTACTTTTTGACGACTACTATTAAACAAATATAAAATAAAATAAAACTGACTAGTATAAAAAAATATGGTACTCAGTATCATTGTTGTTTTTTACTAAAAAAACTATATAAATAATAGTTATTATGAAAAAGATAGATTTATTTTCATTTATTGCTACAATAGGTCTCAGGCAGGGCACCTACCAATTTCCACAATAGGGTCATGAATAATTTAAAAATTCTAAATTGTGTACAGCACTTACTTAAATGTATGTAGAACCTTTGGTAAACGTTTTGTAATAGAGACTTTTTTTTTACTAGGAGCTGTAAGATTTTGAATTTTTTAAATTTTGTATCGTAGGACTATAATGAAAGTTAGTACTATTATCTTTATTAATTAACCTCGATATCCTCCTCCATAATACCTTCATACTCCATATTTCATGATAAAGACATCAACACTGTGACACTTAACATGTCATAGTTCCAGGAACAACCTTTTTTTTTAAAAATCAAGCCATCTCCAATTTAATATCCTATTTATTTATGAAGACCTTTTACCTTGGCTTTTGGTAGTAAAATATGATAGTATTATGTAATACCGTGAGGAATTGAAATTGTAAAAAATCATTAACGTTTTTGACGATTATTCCGTTAAATTATTTATTTATTTATTTAACGGGCATAAAGTCCAATTAGTATAGAAAACAGAGACTATAAGATATAGCCGCAATATAGGTATTTGTAGAATAGTATATAATTTATTATTATGGTAATTAGTGAGAAATGAGGAAATTAGTTTATGATTTTGATAAGTTGTTTATTAAATTAATACTAAGAGTTCGAAAAATATTGATGGACTATTATGTTGCAGAACCTCTTAAAATTTAAGATTTTTTTTTTAAATGTAAATCGTATTCAATAGGCATTAATAAAATTCTACCATTTATTTAGCATACAAAACT